TTAATGAGTTTTTTGGGTTCATTGAGAACATGGTTGTTGTTCAATAATAAAATTATTCCTCAAAAATACAACTTGCCTAATAATTCTGCACTCCCTGTATTGTTTGACCTGTTTGTAAAGGTAAAGTAAATCCTCACAAAGAAAACCTGTTTGTGTGAAAATGGATTCATTTCAGATTTGTGTAACCATCTGGTGTCAGTAAAGTGGGATCCTTTGGCTGATGTCTGCAATCGACACAGTGGTGCCTGATCGTCCTGGAAACAGGCCTCTAACCTTGTGTATTTGAGAGATCGTGTGGTCCTCACATCATCTCCACTGGGACTTTGAGGAACATTGTTCTTAAACAGAGAACTGAAATAAATTATTATATTTTAAAATGACTCCCTGCATGTTCACATCTCCTTGAATGCAGTTATGACTGTGAGGTAGACTCCTGCTTATAGTGGTAACACTTACAGAGGAGGAGATCAAATTCTGTGTCTTATCTTTTATGAAGAAGTGGAAACATGGACCAGGATTTCAAGACCCCAAACATGGATCAATCAGAGACTCCATGATCCCAGCCAGCTGATTGCTGCTTCTGCCCACCATCACTGACCTGGTCCTGTACTCTCCCTGGAACTGTGGCACCACACCTGATGTAACCTATGACATTGCAACAGGAAAAATGAGGCCACAGCACAGTTTTTCACCGAAGACTTTCACTATGCAATTGTTGTTCACAATTATCAACCCCTGAACCTGCCAGACTACTGGAACTCACTGAAGAAAGCTGGAGGACGCAAGATCCCAAACATAACTGTTAGAACTCTGCGGCCAAATAATGGTGCATGGCAAAGATTTAAGTCTCTCTCAACAAAATATGGTCTACCAGGAAACCGCATCGTCATCCCGTTCATCGTCCCAGGAGAGAGAGAAAGTGTCCCGTTCTCTGTCGTCTGCTTGGCTCTGTCCCTGGTGCTCCTCTATTCCAGGTTTAAAGCCACCGTGCACCTTGATACCTGTCTGAGTGATCAGTCTACAGGACAGAAATCTGACAGGAAATATCTGCAGGAGCAGTACTGCTGCACTGAAGACAACACTGTGATGACCTGTTCACTCAGTGTGAACTGGTGGGATCGTTTTAAGAGTCTGTTTTTAATTAGATGCCCTCATCCACATCTTATGGTCTTTTCAGTCTATCAGCCAGTTTCACTTCTTTAATGAAGCCTACATGAATCAGTCTCCAGATTTTTGTGCACTTTAAGCTGTTTGTGTTGTTGCTGCTTTTCCTCAGAGCTCAGGCTGGACTTCAGTGTACAGACTGTCTTATACTTTATCCTGACAGAAAAGAGTACACAGCACTTTATTGTCTAGTTTAGCTCCACACTGACATGGAGGTAAACCTGCAAACAGCTGAGCAGACAAAGACACACAGTGTGTAAACTCTGCCTCTCTGTGTAATTTAAACACCTTAATGTATCTATTTTTTTTATGATGAAATCAAACTACATTTTGGATTCTTGTATCATTTGTTCTTTTTTGACTTTTTATATTAATTTAAATTAAAATATAATGACTTTAATTTGTTGCTGGGATGTGACTGAAACAGAGTCACATGTGATAACATCAACTGCTCTTTATGGAGCTTGCAGGTGGAAGTGAGTTTCAACCAGCAGGAATGATTAAAATAAATGACCTGTGAAAATGAAGCAGAAATTAAACTTCAACTCCTGCTCAAACTTTATTCTTCTGGAGATCTTAGCTCTTAAGGTCAGAGGTTACTGCTTTTCAGGCAGTGGCACAAAGATCGCAGAATTTTCTTTCACCTTCTTTCTACTGTATAGACTCCACTAACTATTTTTTTTTTATCTGAAAACATATTTATACAGATAAGCTTTCAATATTTTTTTGTTTTATTCTATTGATTTACATTTGTGATTTTTAAAATCTGTTTATCTAGAGTATTTGGTCTATTCTGAGAGGAGGAGAGTTTTTAACTATCTTGAGATAATTGAACTAAAATCCGTTAATAATTAATAATTGTGATAAATAATCAAATAATAAGTAATAACTTTTGTTGGGTTTCCAGCTGATATACCCATTTTTTCCATATATTTATTAGTTAACCAAACTTGCAGTAAAACAGCTGATATCCCGTTTAGCTGTCTGCTGAAAATTGTCGAGTCCTGCAACCTGGATGAACAGAACAGTGATTTGTAGAATGCTTCTGATTTCTGAACATTTTTCTATGAGGCAGGTTCTTAAGTTTTAACCCCCTTCTGATTTCTGCTTTTTAAAACAGCCTAAATTCCATAGGTCTGTCTGTGTTTTTAGTAAAGGTTACTGAGGAGGTAAAACAAATTAAAATAGCTAATATTTAATTTAATTTAATGTAATAATTAAACGTAAGTTGGAACTCAGCAGTAGTGAAATAAGGCAGATGAAGTGAAAATGAAGAGTGTTCACCTGTGGAAAAAAGGCCAACATGTGAATGTGAATGTTTTTTGTCCACTAGGTGGCTCCTTCTGCTCATTTTCTCTGTGTGACAGTTTTCTACACCCATGATGAAGAGTTTTCTTTCAGTTTTCTCTGCTCACTTTAGTGCTTGCTCCAACACTGAGATCAGCATGAACTTGCTGCTAACAGAAACTAAAATCGGTGCAAAACCACCAAGAAGAACAACAGGTTAGGAAACTTTTCAAACGCCACCCACTTTGACTGAATGAGCGGCTGCTGAACAGAACCTGATAAAACTGTTTAATGACATTAAACTTCCAGAAACTTCCAGCAAATAAACCAAAGCAGAACCATTAGACTGGTAGAGTGCATGACGATCTTCCTGTGAGACGCAGCTCAGGGCAAACAGTGTAGTGTATAAGATTTCATTATTTAATTTTGTACATGTGTAATAATGTGTAATCAAATTCTCCCGTTTTAAATTTTCATTAAAAGATAGCATTCTAGATACTATTACTTTAACTGTGGAACACCCATCTCTTTTGGGAGCTGTTGATGGCTGCTTCAAAGCATTTTTTGTTTTGGATGTAAGTTACCCAAAGTCATGTGTCCAGGTTTGGGAATTTCTTCAAACTATCATCTATAAAACACAGGACATGAATCAAATATAATAAAATGAAAGATAGCTCAATTAGCTATGATGGAAGAGTAAAATGTTGCTCATAAAGGTGCATGAAATGATCCGAGACAGAGTTTCCCTGTTGCCATTTTTCTGAAGTGTTGAGTTGAGTTTGTATATTAAGTTTTTAAAAAATCCCAAATCACCCCTGGTTTAATGATTGAAGTTTTTACATGTAATTTGTTCTAAAACAGAGCCCGGTAGTTCTAACCCAAGACTGATTTGTAGTAATATACTTTTGCTTTATAAAAAAAAATGTTTTGCTTCTATTATACTTTCATTGTTTGATATATTTTGTACGAATTTCATTGTCTACATATTTTATGTATAATGTGGCAATAAAAGTAGTTATATTTACTTTTATCATTATCTTTAATTGTCTTTAACCCATTTTTTATATGCTGAATTTAGGGGAAACAAATATTTAGTTTTAACTCAAATCTGAATGGTAATATAACCCTTTTGAGTTTCAACACAATTTTTTGTAATCTTAACTTTAAACACTAATCAATTAACCCAATTTTTGGGTAGTTAGCCTAACCCAGTGTGCTGGATCAAACCAATAACCCAACCCTGTTGAGTTGAAACCAGCCAGGGTTCGCTGGGTCCAAATTAGGTTATTTTTAACCCATTTTAACTTCCCAAAGCTGGAAAATTTAAAACCATGTTCAAAAAACAGTTGAAACATAAGTATTCATTTTACTGCTTTAAAAGCTTTAAAATGATGATTATAAAACAATCAAAAGTCATAATGAAACTCAGTAATTATCATGTTTGGTAATCAGGTTAATGCAGTTCAACTCCCATTGTTAAGTCCTTGTCTGGTCTTATTGATGATTGGCTGGCATCATCAGCTCATCTGTCTTCCAGACCAAAATATTCACTCTCTCTTCCACTCCAGCTGGCATTAACCTATTAGTGGTTTCTATGCTTAATTTATGTTTAATGTATTAATGCTTAATTTATAAGTAAATCTAATTTATATTTTATAATATTTTATTTAAGCAAACCTCTATTGTGGACTCCCTCCTTGCCACCTACTTTTAGCCATCCTTAGACCCATTGGTAAGAGTAACGTTTAAGCTTGATGGCTAAGAAAGTTTGTGGTTTCCTAAATGCTTATCTAAGTTGAAATGTGGCTTCAGTGCAGCATAAAGTAGTTATAGTAATTTATGGTATAGTATTTGGCTACGTGACCAATATCCTGGATAAGACTACATTTTGTCACCAGCTGCCTCAAGTTGATCAAATGAAAACACTGTTATGCCCCAAAGGCCACGGATCAGATCAACGCCCAACACACATTATGCCCCACATTACACCCCACTCCCATGATGTCTCATGCGGGTGGTGGCCCCACAGGCCCATGTCTCCTCTTCAGGTTGCGCCCAGTCACCAGATGCTTCCTTGAGCACCGTTCCCAGATTTGATTCCAGGGTGGGGTCCTGGGAAGCCTATCCCGGGTAGGCTAGACTAGTCCCTTAATTTGGTTCCTTTGGGGTTGACGAAGATGAAACCCAGGGCAGACCCAGAATACACTCAAGAGATTAAGTGTCTCGGCTGGCCTGCGAGCACCTCAGCGTTCCTGCAGATAAACTGGAGGAGGTGGGTGGGGAGAGGGAGGTTTGGGCTTCTCTGCTTTGGCTGCTGCTACCGTGACCCAGACCTGGATAAGTAGAAGAAAATTAAATGATTGATAGATAAACTCTGCTATTACTGTATAAATAATGTTTACTTTTGCTTGTTTGTATATTTCATTTCTCTTATTTTGTGTATTCACGCCTCTTGTTCATAAGAGCTGAAACACAGACATCGTCACCTTCTGGTGACCTATAATTACAATATTATAGTTGTAATTACAGTTCTTTTATAACCACACAGCTTCCACAAACTGTGTGTAAAGTAAAGTTTATACTGTACCATTTTCAGTGTTTTTAGACCATCTGATGGACTCATAGACACAACGGTCACCTGCAGGTCAAAGAAAATTAGTCTTCTCATTTCTGTGAGCCTAATTTAAGCATAAGTATTCATGCAAGTAGCATTTATATTAAATGTTGATATTGTTGTAGCTTCGTTTAATTCAACAGTGTTAAAACCGCAGCAGATGTTAAAGTACACTCTTGCAAATTGCTTCAGAATAGAGTCTATATTTGAACCAGAGAGAGTGCTAACCATGAAGAAGTGAGGAGTATACTTGCTGTTGATCTTCTACCTGACTGACCCTCTAGTCAGAACCTTTAAAACAAAAAAAAAAAATTGAAATAAGACATTTGCCTTTGCATGGTTGATTTTTATACATTGTTGTGAACAGTTTCCCATGCCTGTATGCTGATTCTGTGTACTTAAATATTTAAAGAGTAAAATATATTTTATCAGAGGAACAAAAATACTCACCTCTGGATTTTCTGTAGCAATAGAACAAGAGCAGCGAGAATATAAATATGACTCCAGAAATTATTCCAATGATCATCAAAATAAGAAATGAAGAGCTTTCAGGACTGGGCACAGCTGTTGTAAATTAGAAACGTGAACTGTTAACTTCAATCAACTCAAGTGAATTTGCCATTTGAATAACAATGAAAGCTGACTTCTAAAGAAAAATAGATCAACTAAACAGGCAGGTTCCAAGACAGCTCTGCAACATCAAGAGCAATACTCTGACTATATGTTTAAGTTTGCCAGACATATCTAGCACCCTCCCCTGTTAGCTGATGCAAATTACAACTGACTGGTGATTAGTTAATAAATGGTACACTTTCTGTTACTTCCCGTTTTTGTCTTTTGTGGTCTGCATTTGGGTCCTCACCTAAGAGAATCCACACAATCTGCCTCCGCATATCGTGACAAACCCAGTGGAAAGCAATCCTCTCTTTCGCTGGTAAAAAGCACAAACACATGCAGCAAGCCGAGGGTACTAGGACATCCACCCCTGTCTGGCAACTCTTGCCAAAGAGAACCCAAGAGTTTCTCCAGGAGACTTGTTCCAGATTGAGGTGAGCCCAACTGTAGCTCTGTCAATCTGTCAAACTCATGCACTAGCTCTTCCTCCTTCCACACCAGGGAGGTAATTGCTAGTTTCAGCAACTGGGAACTGGATACCTAAGTCATTTGCCTTTGACTTTGCCTCTAAGAGAGTTGATACTCCTTAACACAACAGCCAGCAATGATAGCTAGGAGCTGGGGATGTTACTGCCAAGGTCTCCACCCTTGATCCCCTCTTGACACACATTGCATTTAACTCCTATGGCTCCTCCTGTGAATGGCAGACCTGAAAGGGAGGTCAGTGTTGGCCTCACAGGCCTCAGGCTTCACAAAATCTCTGTGTCTCACAAAAACAATATGATTTGCTTTCTAGAACATTTACTTAATCCTGTGCTGATCCTTCTTATGTTTGTAAAATGAAGCTCAACAACAAACATCACTTACTTGATGCTGACAAGTTGAAGGCTTCACTCCACTCTGTTGAAGAATATGAGTCATCTCTGCGTCGACTCTTACACGTGTAGTCTCCACTGCTGGACTCAGAAACTTTGAATATCCAGTAATTATTGTGAGTCCACTGTGTGGTCTGCTTGGGTCCTCTCCATCTATACTCTCACTCAGTGGTTTCACCTCCTTCCTGCACCTCACATGTCAGACTGATCGTCTCACCGCTGAATATCTGAGGCCAGCTGCGTCGTCCTTTAACAACAACCTTATTGGAAACTGTTTACACATATTTACAGTTGAGATACAAACAAACATAAAATCAACAGAAATAATTTAATATTGAGTTGGTTGATAGTGACGAGTGAATGTACAGTAGTGTAAAAAGTGTCTTCCCCCTTCATGATTTCCTATGTCTTGTATTTTTGACTTAAATGTTTCAGATCATCAAACAAATTTAAATGTTAAACATAGATAACAAAAGTAAACACAAAATGCAGTTTCTAAATCTTTATCATTAAGTATAAAAAAAATCCAAACCTTGTGTGAAAAAGCGATCGCCACCTAAACCTAATAACTGGTTAGGGCGTCCTTGGCAGCAACAACCAGATTCAGTCATTCCAAACTCTTCATTTTGCTTTTCTTAACCCATTCAGAGGTGGACTTCAGTTCAATTTTATTTTATTCATACAGCACCAAATCACAATAACATTTGCCTCAAGGTGCTTTATATTGTAAGGTGAAGACTCTACAATAATACAAAGTAAACAGAGAAAACCCCAACAACCATATAACCCCCTATGAGCAACAGTAGGAAGGGAAAACATGCTGAGCCAGACAGCCAGAGATTACTGGTGTGATTTGGATCGTTGTCCTGCTGCAGAACCCAAGTGTGCTCCAACTTGAGGTCATGAACGCATGGCTGGACTTCTCCTTCATGATGTTTTTATAAACAGCAGAATTCATGGCTCCATTTACCAAAGCAAGTCTTTCAGGTCCTGGGGCAGCAAAACAGACCTGGACCATCCCACTAACACCACCGTAGTTTACTGTTGGTGTTCCATTTCTGAAATGCTGTGTTACTTTTAAGCCAAATGTAATAGGACACACACCTTCCAATTAGTTCAACTATTTTCTCAAAGTATTTTCCTAAAAGTCTTGGGGATCATTAAACTTTTTTCTGGCAAAACTGAGACGAGCCTTAATTTTCCTCTTTTTGTTGTTGTTGTCTTAGAAATCTGCCATGCAGGCCATTTCTGACTAGTCTCTTTCTAAGGGTGGAGACATGAACACTGACCTTAACTGAGGCAACTGAGGCCTGACAGACCGACCTTCAGCAGGTCTGGTAGTAATATCAAGGCAGTATATAAGGCCTTGATATGGGAGTGAAACTAAACTCAGCGTTGTAATAAAAAAATGTGGTTGATCACAGTTAATAATATTATTTAACAAGGTGGGGGCTTTTTCCACACAAGGCCAGGTAGGTGTGGATTTTTCCTCCTTTAACTATAAAACCTTTCGATTAGAATCTTTATTTTCCGTTTACTTGTGTTATCTGTTTCTAATATTACACTAAACTTGATTTATGATCTGAAACATTTAAGTGTGACAAACATACAAAAAGTAGGAAATCTGGAGGGGGGCAAACACTTGTTCACACCACTGCCCATTTCAAAGAAAACTTTTCAACTCACAGGTTATCTCAATGGTGACATCATCACTTTTATCAGTGTAGTAAACTGGGTTTCCTCTTCTTCCTCTGCAGCAGTAGATTCCTCCTTGAGATACTCTGATTACTCCGTTTTGTTGATCATCTGTTCTGATTTGAACGTCAGTGTTTGGGTCACGTCTGAACCACTCATATTTCCAGCCAGCAGAGCTCCCCACAGAGCAGGTCAGCGTCACACTGCCCCCTACTGGTATGATAGTTGATCCTGGAGTCAGTGTGGCCCTGGGTTTACCTGCTGTTAGGGAAAATAAAATATGTATACATATGATCTATTATCAAGTAATAAGAACACAGGTCCTGGCTAAAGTTTTTTTTTTCAAAGCTCCTTCCATGAACACATTAATTAAGTGTACACTCTATTTTATAATTTAGATGAATATTTGAATTATTATATTAAGTATATTATATTTATTGGTCATGGTCACTGAGGACTTACCCAGCACAGTCAGGGAGACAGTATTACTGTTCTTTGTATAATGTGATTTCTTCATATGACCAGAGCACTGGTATTTACCAGTATCAGATGTAGACTTCATTTGTTTTCTGTAATTTTTGTATCTGTTGTACGGGATAAAGGCTCGACCATCCTTCATGAGTTTGTATTCCCAGCCAGTGTGTTTTCCTTCCTTCATGTCACATTTGAAGCTAACAGTCTCTCCGATGAACATGGTCGAGCTGGGTTCAACAGTTAGCACAGCATCTAGAATCCAACACAAACACAACATCATTGACCTAAAACACTTTTATGTACTTTACAAATCAAAATCTGTTCTGACATGTTCATAAACTTATAAATATATTGAGAAATAAAAACAGAAATGGAAAGTGTTTAAGATTGATGCATTAAGATGAATATTTACTAAATAAATAAAAGTGCAAACTGTTCAGTCACCTTGAGCGTGTCCGCTGCAGAGGAGCGTACAGAGAACTGCAATAAAGGAAGAAACTTCACACATCATCAAACTGAAGACTCACTCAAACATGGCATCAATCAAACACACCTGGTGTTACCAGAGGCTGCTAATCTAATCTAATCTAATCTAATCCAGTCTACAAACAACCATGTTGAGAACAAAACATGAACTGAAATGCTGCAAATGACTGAAACTCTGTCATTTTACTAAAACATGTTCATCAGTCAACGAATCAAAGGAAGAAGTGATGCACTGACAGAATAGGCCCAGCTCACAGAGGAAAGTGGGTCCCATCCTCACATCCAGCTGTGACACGTCTGAAAACTTCTACGACTTTGTGTGAAGAGAAAGAAGAAGAAGCACACGAGACGCCGAGAACTGTGAAGAAATCAAAGACTTTAAAACTTCTTCTTCTCTCCACTTCCTTCCTTTTATCACACCTTAACAAACTCTGACTACAGCATGCTTTGATATGTTTGTATTTTCCTGGTGCTTCAGAAACAAATTAAGGAGATTTTTATAAAACTAAGTAATAAGAATTGTTTCATCATACAGATGTGAGCTGAGTAGTGAATGAGACAAAATGAGCAGATTACATGTAATTTTGTTTCCTTTGTCTGCTCCTCGTCTGCTTGTTGTGTTTGCTGGGAGCTTTGCCACCAATAATAGTTACTCTCACAGATGCTCCATCATGGAAATACACCATTCTGATGGGTTCAAGCTGCTGCTGCTGCACAAAATCATTAAATTGCTTCAAATATAAAATAAATGCATTTTCATCTAGCTTAGCCTCATAGCTTTAACTATCAGTTGACAAATAGCGGTGTCATACTCACCATAAGCAGATGTTCACATCAGTTAATCCATGCACTCTCTCACACAACAATGAAATCTGTAACTAAAAAATTGACTTTTTTTTATCTTAATTGATAAAACTGAGCTTTACTAATATAGATTATTCCATTAAACCGCTGTAAAATCTTCTGGTTTCATCATAAATTGATTTACAGGAAACGGACAACTCAAACAGTAACAGAAGTGAGTGTGAGGTGAGAGGAAGTTTTTTTTCTGAACTTGCCACTGTTGCCTTACATGTCGCTGTAAGTGGGTTTAGAGGCGTGAAACGACAGACATTTCCTGTTTCATTGCCCAAAGCAATGAGAAGTAAGCAGCAGTGTGGTATATATAAAAAGATTCCCCACTCGCCCCTGTGGGCGGTCAATCCTTCAAGCTCGGGTCCTCTACCAGAGGCCTGGGAGCTTGAGGGTCCTGCGCAGTATCTTAGCTGTTCCCAGGACTGCGCTCTTCTGGACAGAGATCTCCGATGTTGTTCCCGGGATCTGCTGGGAGTCACTGCACCTAGTGCTCCAATTACCATTGGGACCACCGTCACCTTCACCCTCCACATCCTCTCGAGCTCTTCTCTGAGCCCTTTGCACTTCTCCAGCTTCTCGTGTTCCTCCTTCCTGATGTTGCTGTCACTGGGAATCGCTACATTGATCACTACAGCCGTCACTACAGAAGTCCCACAGGATCTTAGCTCGGTCATTCTCCATCACCCTTGGAGGAGTCTCCCATTTTGAACTCTGGACTTCCAGGCATTCCAGACACAGATACTCCTGTATATTATGCCGGCCACTTGGTTATGGCGTTCCATGTATGCCTTGCCTGCTAGCATCTTACACCCTGCTGTTATGTGCTGGATTGTCTCTGGGGCATCTTTACACAGCCTGCACCTGGGGTCTTGCCTGGTGTGATAGACCCCAGCCTCTATGGATTTTGTGCTCAGAGCTTGTTCTTGTGCTGCCATGATTAGTTGACAGCATTGTTGAACGCTCCTGATCCAGGCTCATGTCAGTACAATGCAAAAGCCAACAAAAAAGCTGCTGGTTACACAGCTTGACAAGGTCCTGCCACCATTAACAGGACATGGAAACACATGTGAATTTGAGATGCTACAGTTTCCAATGGGATCCAAGGTGAGTTAAATTAAAAGGAGAGAGATCTCTTTCATGTTTTCATTGTCGTCTGTTTTTGACTTCACTAGGCAAGTCTTAAGACTTAAGATGAAACTGCACCCATTAAGTCACAAAAACTCTGACATGAAATATTAGATTTAAAATACTAACAGAAATTTTCAACACTGTATTCTGTGTTGAAAACTATCACCCCTCCTCCTCTCCCTCAACAAAGTTTGTCCATTTGTGTGGTATAAATGGTGTCATACATGTTCAAAGTTTTCCTGCCTCAGTACAAAGTTCCAGCAGGTCAGTGTTATATAAACACTTGAAGGACTCCTCTCAGCATTTATGTTTATGTAATTTATCAACAAACACAACACACAAGACTGAAAAATATACTGTATAACATTTATATAATAAAGGCTACATGGTTTAAATGACACACAAAATGAGATAACAGAATAAAAAATTTGACGGCAGTTTACCAAATATGAAATAAACAAATATAAAATGTTATTAATGTACAAACCCATTTAAAAAAAACAAGAGGAACAAAAATGCTGATTTGCAAAAACCAAAGGAAAGATCTGTAAATATAGATGTAACAATACATGTGTTGGGGGCGTGGTTTACGATGCTGCTGCAGGTGCGATGTACACACCTGCGCGGCGTCTGCAATCACGCCTCGCCGGCTTAAAAGTTCAGAGTTTTGGTTAACGATGTTGTTGTGGTTGTTGTGTTGAGCTGCAGTGTGTGTGTGTCCAGCAACCGTCAAAGTATTAATACAAGTGATCAAAATGCACTGGGTCTGCCGTGTATGTTTACAACATGCAGTTCAATAAATGCTTGTGTGAAAGTGGAAAGATCCTGATCCTAACACCACACTATCACTTGCTGCTGCTGCCTATTTTTCAACGAAAGAAAACTTTTCATAAAAAGTTGAAATCTGCTGTTAAATTCAAATGAATTAAATTTTGCTTTTGCTACATTTAGTTGGTTTTGCAGACACATGATCATGAAGAATCGATGCAGAATTATTCAGTGTTTAAAGGTGATTTGGGACTCAGTTTATCGAGTTAATCATTACAACAACAAATCACAGTATGTAAGCTATTTTATTTCTGTATTACTAAGAGCTGGTTTTGATTTGACTTCAGAATAAACTGCTTCATCAGCTGCTGCAGGGGCTGATTTTCCTGCAAATAAAGAGATTTTTTGATGAGATGACTGCCAGTAACATCTTAATTCAAAGGCTCTACTATTTATACACTTTTTCTTGGTGTGTATAAAAGTATCAAGCAGACAGCAAAATGAAAAATTTGCAATTTTTTAGATTACTTTACTTACCTTTATGTATCTTGACTTTAGCTCTGTTGTGGGAGACCTCTGCATACAACAGGCTGTAATCTAAAGAGGACAGACGCTGATCAGAAAAGGTTGACTGTCTTTAATTTCCTTTATATTTATATCATTCTGTCATTCAACACCTAAACTACATGACATGACTGAAGGATGTTCTCTACACTGACTAACATTTCTCAGCATTATTATCTCGTTTGAGTTCATCATTATAGCGATAATGAGTCTGTTATTTCTGTGCAATTACCAAGAGCTGGTTGTGACTTGACTTCAGAATAAATGACTTCTTCAGCTGCTGCAGAGGCTGATTTTTCTGCAAATAAAGACATTATTAGTCAAAGATGATTGTCAGTAACATCTTAATTCTAAGTCCACACAGCCAGCAGGATGACAATACCTCAAATTAGCCTTTTAGACTGAGGGGTAAAAAGTGTAAACAGACAGCAAAAAGAAATGTGTGCTTTACTACTTTACTTGCCCTTGTTTCTCTTGGCTTTAGCTCTCTTGTGGGAGACCTCTGCATACAACGGGCTCTCATCTAAAGGAGGACAGACAGACGATAAACTAACTTTGGAGTAACTTTGATTTTCTTTATACTGAAATCATTTTGTCATTAAAGACCTAACTCATCACATGGACTGACTGAGGGAGGTTCTCATCTATTGAAAAAGATTTTTTTTGACAGCCCGTTGTTGTCATTATTTAAAAAAGCTTCTTTCACATTGTGCCTACATCAAAAACAGCCAGTGAGCATTCAGAAGGGTCTCCTCAGTGATAGATGACCCCTGATATTAGAATCACATGAAACACGAGAAGAATGATGCTGGCTAATCTCAGTTAAAATACAGATCTTTGACATGATTGGACTAAACTGAATGTATTGTCTCTGTTGAGAACAGGATTAAAATGAATCCCGTGATTATAGGTTAAGGTTTATAACCTGCAGCACCTATAAGAACATAAAAACCTTTATGGAAAAAAGTAATTACATTAAATTACACTCTGCAAAAAGGAAAATGGAATCTCTGAAAATCAGCAAAGCAAAAACATATCAGCAAAGGTTTTAAATACTGAAGGAATTGGACTGATTATTAATTGTTCTTTGGTTTATTGTTTTATTGTAAAAGATTCATTATTCAAATTAAATTAAGGGAAGATTCGACTATCACAGTATGAAACATTTTCATTCAAACTTCAGGGATACCTGGCTCCATTTCAGCAGCTTTGATGCAACTCAGAATGACAAGAGGTGCACTGAAGAGGAAACAACAACAAAAACCCAACAAGAGAATAGCTTCGAGGTGGTGTTCACAGGTCATTGCTCTCTCTTTATCCCCCTGACTGACTTTTCTTGTTGCTGTTGTTCAGTCGAGCTGTGCTGTGAGTACAAGTCCTAGTAAAGGTCATGAGGCCTCGTGCTGTGTTCGCAGAGTCTATTTCTAACAGTTTGATCAAAAGCATGCACATGAGAATGGGCCGTCCTGGTCTGCCTGTGCAGCCTGATGGTAACGTCTCACAATACCAGCGGTTTGCGCCAAAGCAGCTGAAATGGACTCACAATGTTTTATGCTTCCTAACTGCACTGATTGAAGTCCCTGAATTTTAACTTTTTAAATGTGTTCCACCTTTTTCCACTTTCTCCTCTATTTATTATTTTATTTGTTGAACAGAGCACATTACAGCGATCAGCTGGTTTCTTGCTTTTTCTTCTTGGAGCGATAACATGAATGAAAGTCTAGTTTTTCCTTCATTTGGATACTACTGTCCAATAAAAGCATGTAAACTAGTGTATTTTGTATTGGTAGCAGAATAAATACTCACCTTTCTGAGTGATGTTTTTAAACTCAATCAAAGAATATGTGACATCCCCAGATTCAACTAAAATAGAGTTCAAACATTTACACATAAATGAGAATAATCAAAGAGTCTGCATACTTATAAACCGCTGTTTATACTTTACCATTTTTTGTGTCATCGTGGTCTTTGACTGATTCATAGAGACAAGCATCACCTATAAAACAATTAAAACTCATATACATGGATCTGATCACCTTACAAACAGAAACGTCTAAAGCAGAACTCGTCACGGTTAACGCTGACCTCGGTGAGGAGAAGCATGTTGGCTGTCTCCAGCTTCATCCTGGTTGATCGTTTGGTTTATGGTTTGATTTGTGCTGGAACATAAAATGTAGTAAAACAGTGGATTTAATAAGAAACACAGGATGAAATTCTGGTTTGGTAAATAATGAGAGAGAAAATGTAAACAAACCTGGGAGAGCATGAATCTGAAAAACAAAACAGAAAAACACAATCAGATGTTTTTATTGCAAACTGTTCTGGTGCTGTACCGTTACATGCAGCGTTCAGGGTACGTCTGTAGTTCTGAACAATTAGATTATGCTCAGTGTAATATCAGAGAGAAATGGTTTCACCCTTTGACTGTTTGAAGCAACAACACAGCAGAAGAAGAATCAGTAAAAGTCCACAGATGAGTCCAACGATCAACAGAGCAGGATATGAAGAGTTTCCAGTCCTGGGCACTGCTGAATAAATGAGAAGATTTAATTACATGTATGTAAACAGATTTAAATGTACAACAGATTTCACATGAAACACACACAAGAGCTGGCACTATTTCCAATACCAGAACTCCTGATCACATCTCCTCCATTCTCATGTTATTTTACATGATTTTGTAATATGTACAAAAAAGCACAAGCGAAAGAAAATTTTCTCTGTGTAACTTGGAACCAACATGATCTCCAGGACAGATGTCAGCTGGTGCAGTGTTATATACAATTACTTCCACTATACAGAGGCAAATCGAGGCAGTGCTGAAAGCTAATGGGGGTCCACCCAGTACCAGCAAGGTGTACCTAATAAAATGTCTAGTAGCCTTCTTAATCTCTGAGGTGTGTCCTATTGTCACAGATGTATAAAATCAAGCACGTAGCCTTCTACGGAGCTTCTCTAAACTAAAGCAGCGTTTTGTCTCAGTGTTTTTACACTTTCAGTAAAGACGGCACTGAACAGGCTAAAATTAAAAAGTGTCAGTGTTCACAAGAACGATGGTGATGCAGCCACTGTGAAATCTGCGGTAGTGTTGCAGCTGATAAGGAGCAGATATTCTGAATATTACATAAACATCATACTGAATACTGTCAAACTGGCAACAGCCCTCAATATTCCCAGTAAAGCACTTTTTTCATCATCATCACTTTACGGGGTATTAGTTGGGGTCCCCAGCAGGCGGCTTGGACACTTGTGTTCATGATTACGATAACTCAGCATTAAGATGAATATTTACTAAATAAATAAAAGTGCAAACTGTTCAGTCACCTTGAGCGTGTCCGCTGCAGAGGAGCGTACAGAGAACTGCAATAAAGGAAGAAACTTCACACATCATCAAACTGAAGACTCACTCAAACATGGCATCAGTCAAACACACCTGGTGTTACCAGAGGCTGCTGTGATTGGTTTAAATTATATATTTAATGTAAAATGCATCAAATTATCACTGATGAAGAAACAAACCTTTCTGAGATAAACTAAACCAGCGTCAGTGCACTGAAATCTAATCCAGTCTGCAAACAACCATGTTGAGAACAAAACATGAACTGAAATGCTGCAAATGACTGAAACTCTGTCATTTTACTAAAACATGTTCATCAGTCAATGAATCAAAGGAAGAAGTGATGCACTGACAGAATAGGCCCAGCTCACAGAGGAAAGTGGGTCCCATCCTCACATCCAGCTGTGACACGTCTGAAAACTTCTACGACTTTGTGTGAAGAGAAAGAAGAAGAAGCACACGAGACGCCGAGAACTGTGAAGAAAACAAAGACTTTAAAACTTCTTCTTCTCTCCGCTTCCTTCCTTTTATCACACCTTAACAAGCTCTGACTACAGCATGCTTTGACATGTTTGGTGCTGCAGAAACAAATTAGTGAGATTTTTATGACACTAAGTAATAATTTACTTAGTTGTAGTTGTATCATACACATGTGAGCTGAATAATGAATAGACAACATGAACAGATTACAAGTCCAAGTGAAGCTTTAAATGTGAAGTACTTTTGTTTTACATCCAGAAACACAACAAGAACACAGCTGTCTGCACCTTCACCTGCAGGTCTCATACACACTGATCACATATATGCACATGTTAAACACTCTTTGTCATAAATCACATTCAGACACAGTATTAAATAAATCTAATTGTCAAAACTGTTCCACTCCTGAAACTAATAATTCATTTGAACCGTGACACGGAGAACAGGCAGAGGCAAGTTTGTGGACACTTTTAAAATATTTAATTTTCTTTTAGTTTATTTTTACTCTTTAAATTACTAAATTAATAAAATGCAGTCATAAAGTTATAAGTAAGTTTACCCTGGATGGTGAAAGTGGCCTCTATCGACTGTTTTTCTTTGTTAAGTATAGTTAAGAGTTTTGATGTATTAAACATCAAGACCATCAAAACATTTGAAATCCTGGAATAACTGCATAGGAAGTTTAAAATTAAAGTCTTGGAGCTCGACTGACTTCTTACAGAAACAGCGATGGACATTTTGTTTCCTTTGTCTGCTCCTCGTCTGCTTGTTGTGTTTGCTGGGAGCTTTGACACCAATAATAGTTACTCTCACAGATGCTCCAGCACACAAACACGTCATTCTGATGGGTTCAAACTGCTGTAGAAAAGTGATTAAAACCATTAGCAAGCACAAGAAGAGACATTTAGTATTTTCCTCCTGCCATAGAAATATTAATCAGCTGCTGATAATTTTCAAGGAGCCACGAATCACTGATTATATTCTAAAGGCTGCTGCACAAAGTCACTACATTGCTTCAAAATACAACAAACACGTTTCCATGAAGCTTTGTAAACAGTTAAAAACAGATTGATAGATGATCAGCCCAGAGACGTAATACTTACTCAGAGCAAATGGTCACAGCAGGCGAAAGCACTTTTTCCCACAACAGTGAAATCTTTCACTAAAAATACTTTGTTTATCATTTTAACTGACAAACTTCACTAATGTAAAGTCATCACTGCAGAGTCTTTGAACATGAAGTTCAGTTCTGGTCAAATGTTCACTCAAATTCAGGAAGTGAGATGAAGTCCTCCTCCCTCCCTTCTCTTGTCTGTTTCCTTAAAAGTAGCTGTAACTGTTGTATTCAAAGAGATGAAAGCTGTTAACTTTGTCACTCAGTAACCACACAGTGAGCTACTTCCTGAGGCTCATGGGAAATGTTTTTGAGATGGAACAAACTTTGACCGACTTTAAAATGACAGGTCGTTCAGACTGCAGCAGATAATCGTTCAGTTACAAGCACAGACTGAAACGCACTGAGATGAAACTGAAGAGACACTTTAACTCAGATCCAAAATCCATTTCCTATTTCTTGTAACTGTTGTATAGCTATGACCGATCAATGACCTGAAGTGAATCCATTCTTATGGAAGGGAGAAACAGCTGAGCTATGCCAGGATTGGTATACAGTTGTAGCAGTAATTCTCTTCATGCTTTCCTTGCAGATGGTGGTTGGGTCATAATGGAGGGTCACATTTTATGTTGATAGAATTTGTTTTTATGCTGAGTTTGGTGTTTTTGTTTGTTTGTACTGCAGTTTGCTCACTAACAGGAGACTCCCAGTGACTTGTTGGCTTTCTGTACTGTTTTATTATTTGCCCCTTTTTAATGGTGACTCATTGTGAGCATGTTGCTGCAGGTATTCTGATGGTATGTGTGCACATGTGTGAAATTCAACAGAACGCTCTGCTGTGCTGCTTTTCATGTATAAGAGATTACGCCTCAGAAAAAATACAATACGTTTAAATCTTTATTTGAACATTGTGAACACAACAAACACTAATAAACAACAAAACAAAACAATGAACCAACAGAATAGGAGTACAGATAACTTTAACTGTCATGAAATATAAGATCAGGCTTTCCCTGAGACAGTTCTAATTATGAGGTGATAAATGCCCGTTTTCAGGAAACATGTTCAACAAACTCAACGGCAAATCTGAGTTTTCAAGTCCCAAACAGCTGATCAGACGAAGTTCAACTGAGTGTACTCTGAGTTAAGTGTAGGGCTGTTCGATATAATGATATGAAAACATCTATGGTTTCATATCACGCTATCGCTTGTTTTGTAAAATAAACTGTTTATGATCAATTTTTTTCATCATTTTCAAGCCACTGTTTTTACGCGTTGGCGTTAGCAACAATGACGGTGAACCCAGTGTGTGGCTCCGCCATCCTCTTGTTTATTTTCCACATAAACCTTTCACAATAAAGCTTAAGATCCTGTTGAGATTTTTCAAAATAAACTGAAATGATGACAAACAGAAGGACCAGTCAAAACAATACGAGGACCTTATTTCTAAACGAGGGTCTAGCATGGACATGGTTATGAAAAGTCTGACACGGACCAGAAAACTGTACTATGCAAATTATGCAGGAAACCGGTCCCCACCCCAGACTCAAACATGACAAACCTCTTCTACCACCTACGCAAGGATCACGTGAAGAGTTGGAGAGAGTTTACAAATGAGAAGCAAAAAAGAGCCGTCAGGTGCTCAAAACAGGGTTCAGACACCTATCTCAGGGTCAAATTCAAGCACTTTTTAAACACTTTCAAGGTCCCTTTTCAAGCTTTTCCAACACAACCCCCCCACCGCCACTGCTCAAAAAACCAAGAATGTGTGTTTCAATTCGCATCACCTCAATAAGACCATGTGAAAATTAAAACAAATCATCCTAGGTTATCTTAAACACCTTTGTTCCCCTTTTGTTAAGACAGAAAAACACACCACACAAAAATAGTGTGTGATTGAGCAGCAATGTAAATCCAACTATTTTCACGGTTGTTGTGGTCGTGATAATTTTGTGATGCCACATCGAAAAGGCTCGGATGAGCTTTCCAAAGTTCTACAAGTTGTGCCTCCATCGCTTGTGTCCAGATCACACGCTGCACAGCCGTGCTGCTCCGTCTTTTTCACCGACGTTTACGTGTTTGCGCGTGAGCAGTGTGAGCGGCTGTGGTGACACCCTCACGAGCGATTGATGATCGGGAGCTGGTCGTGAGGTGTTAATCGCTTCTCGTTACCCCACGTATACTACACGATGCACGATGAAGGCCAAAATCGGCCGATCACCAAATCGGTCGCACGACTCAAAAATCGGCTCAAAATGGGCCAAAAATCGCACAGTGTGAGCCCAGCATTAGAGCAGCAATGTTTGTTCCCCTCAGAGAAAGGGAAGAATGGGAAAAGGAAAACACCTGGCTGGAAAAGTGCACGATAACACCTTTAAAGCGCACTGCACTGTGTGCCGGCGCACTTTTTCCATAGGCATGCTTCTAATGGTGGGCACATGAAGAACATGAGGGGCGTGAAAGCTCGGGGAACCCTTAACCAATTTTCTTGTCCACCAGGCCACGGCAGAAGCAGATATGGTATGTAAACACTGGTTTGTTTTTTTTAAACCCTCTGGTTAAGGTTAATATGGGCATGTGCAGTGAATATCAGCGCTATGTGGCCAGAAGTGTGATAATATAATTTATTTTGTGTAATAAACAACTGCAAGGATAGATGATTACAACAAATAGATGACTAATACATAAAAGTAATACATAGATGAATAATGATGATGAGTTAAGATGCGTAATCATGGGAACAAGTGGGTTTACAAACAGGAGCAGCTGATTAGCATTAGAAAAGCTGAAATAATACCTCAGCTGAAGCCAATTGTACTAAATGCACTAAATGTGCACTGTTACAAGAATATTTTTCTTTCTATTGTTTTCTATTATTTTAAGTTAAGCAGGACAGAGTTCTTTTAAAGAAAGATTTACTTATATTCTCAAAAGTTAAGCATGACAGGCTTCTGTTTAAGAAAGAGACCTGTTTTATTGTGTTAATGTTGTCATTTTGAGCTAAAAATAAATGGCTAAATGATCATTTGTTTCCCATATGGTCATATCACAAAGAATATGCATCTGCTTAAATCAAATTCAAGTCAAATGGTTAAAAAATAATTTCACACACAAAAAAAAGAGCTACCACACTGGGAAGGGTGAAGACAACTGGGTTGCCCGGCCCTGGCCACGAGGTGTCCCTTATTTATTTTTCAGGGAGTTGGCAACCCTAATCAACTGTGACGTTCACTAGTAGAACTGACAAACACAACAAAACAACGACTACACTACACACTAACTACCAGTTATGGGAATAACGGCGTTACAAGTAACGGCATTAATTTTTTCAGTAACGAGTAATCTAAGTAATTACTATTCCTATCGTTACAACGCTGTTACAGTTACTAACAAGAAAATGCGGTCCGTTACTATTTTTCAACAAACAGACGGTTGAAGCTGTGTTCAGCTTACCGCATCTTATATCAGTTGCACGGAAGTAGCTGTAAGTAATCTGGACGCTACAGGTAATCACGATCACTGTCTAGCACAACACCTGGAGCTAAGGGGCAAAACAATCGCATGAGTGCTGCTGTTTGACTGAGGAAGAATAAAGTAGTCGTGGTAAGCCAATCACATGACCACTTAAAGACAAAGCAACAAGGTGATATATACCAGTTTTTAAATTGTGTTGATAGGCCACGTAAAACCAGAGTCATGATAAACAATATATACACGGCGTTTATACGGCGATTTTTCCCCAGCGTTTCGTCACGTTAGCGCTAGCAAGCACTCTCTGCTTATGAGCAAAAAAAACAAACAAACAAAAGAACTGGGGACGTTTTAGGAGTGACGACGAGAGAGAGAGAGAGTTTTGAGATGTGAGAGATTTGTGACGTTTAGCGTGTTTGGAGTGTGTAGTTAATGTGTTGTCTTGTGTAGTTAGTGTGTAGTGTTGTGGATAGTTTTGTGTTGTGTCAGAACAATGAGGCGACTGCTGTCTCCAGGTAGAAACAGGAGTGATACACCTGCTGCTGTCAGACCTGCAGGTATCAGGCTGTGATGTTTTCCTTTATAGTGGACAGAAATTATTTTTTTGGAGTGGCACAAATAATTTGTGTGGCATCTTATTGAATGCAGAACAGCTGATTGTTCTGTAAATAGTTTGAAATGGTTATTTAAAAATCAAGGTAAAAGGTAAATGGCTGCAAATAACTTTGTTGTTTGCAAAACTTGTGCATATGATTTTAAAATTGACAATTTATATTTGCATTTAAAGTTATGAAATATGATTCAATAAACATGTTTGTGGTTGTTACAGTAAAAAATATAACTTTTTCTACTCGGATTTTATGTTTTTTGTCTGATTTTAGATCAATTGTGTTAATACAGTATGTCAAAATGAAAACATAACTGTAAATTCAGACACGTGAGGTTGTGCTGAAAAGGATGATACCAAACAAGGCAAAGTAAATAGTTTTTAAAGGTGAAATGTGGAGGAAAATCAAAAGTAGTTAAAAATGGCCAATTATACCCTGGACCCCAGAGGGTTAAACGTTTTTTTTTTTATTTTTCCATAGCATCACACTCAGTGCATTTCAATCATTTCTCCAGCGAGTTTGATAGCAAAATAATAATCATAATAAAAAATAGCATGTGTAACGTACACGTACTGGAAAATTATTTACTAGGACTCACCTATCATGCATTGTCATTTTCCATCAAACACTCATTAAAACAGCAACCTACAGGTATGTTAGCGCACTCATCCCCGACTGTCCGAGGGAGGGGCGGGGTCACACGTTGAAACAGACAAGGCAGCCCAGGCGGGGAAATTTTGCTTTTACATTTTGCGACTCATTTTATTTCTCTATCTGATAAGAAAACTATTCAATCAGATAGTTATTTGTGGTGAATGAAATACAGTTACACTTTCAAGCACTTTTAAGCACCACATCTGAAATTCAAGCACTTTTCAAACCTTGAAAAGACAACATTAAAATTCAAGCATTTTCAAGGATTTCAAGCACCCGTACGAACCCTGAACAAAATAAACTTAGATCAAAGAAAACTTGGTTTGTAATAGTGCTTGTTAACTTAAGCACCTACGATCTGTCACATTGTAAAATGTGAACATTCACATAATTTATAGTAAATGTAAATTTTTTGTGATATATATCGTTGTCGGTACGATAAATGTCTTATATGGGTATCTGAGATTTTGGTAACATCGCACAGCCCTAGTTAAGTGTGTGGTTGAGTAAAGAAAGGAAGCCAACATGATATCGGAGCCTTCATTTTAATCCAATGAACAGAAGAACACAGTGCTGACAATTTTGAAAAAAAAAAAAAAAAAAAAAAAAAAAAAAAAAAAAAAAAGGAAATAGGGGGTAAGTCACAGCCGTCCCACATTTTCTAAGCATGAAACTTTAAC